TGGCCATTTATACTTCTTTTGTAAGTGTCTAGATTATTTGCCCACTTGTTTTTTTAATTACAACTAAATTTAATTAAAAATTATATCAAATTTTTATTGGTGCATCATAATTATACTCACAGTGGGATTCAACATGCCATGCATTTGCTCATTTTTTTAAATTAAATTACTTGTTTTTTTGTTGTTACTTTTCTACTTGTGTTTTGTCTAGTTCTTCAGGTGTTCTAGGATGGATCCTGCCATTGCAGAGGTCTTTTGCTTCCTTGGTGAGGTTAATTTCTAGCTATTTTTGTGGCTATGATGAATGGGATTATTTCCCCCAGGTCTTTTTCCAACAGGTCAACTTGGGTTGTACAGCAAAGCTACTGGGTTTTATGTGCTGATCTTGACTTCCTGCTCTGCAGGGCTTATCAGCTTCACCTGTCTTTTAGTGGAACCTCAGGGCTGTCTAATGACTCATGTCATCTGGAAGCGGGACTAAAGTCACTTCCTCCTTTCCTGTGTGTGTCTTTCTCTTGCCCTACTGTTCTGCCTGAAATGTTAAGTACCATATTAAATAGAGGTGGTAAGAGTGGACAGCCCTGCCCTATTCCTGCCTCTGGAGAAACTTCTTTCTGTTTTCCTGCTCAGTACCATGTTGTCCATGGGTTCACCCTGTGCACCCTTTATGTGGTTGAGGGATGACCCCCCAAACCTAGTCTTTCATTGATTGCTTAGGACTCAGACCATGCTCCATCTCAAAGATGGCACTATGTGAATTTGTATAGACTACAATTTCTTTTGACGTCAGTCAACATAGTCTGTAAATGTTGATTTGATTAATGTGGTCAATAGTGTTTTTCAGATCTGTATTGGATTATTTTGTCTGCTGAATTTATTAATAACTGACATAAGGGTGTTGAAATCTCCCAATAAAATTGTGAATGTGTCTATTTCTCCTGGAATTTCAGTAATTTTTGATGTCCTTGTGTCTGGGGTAAACATATTAAGGAATTTTACATCTTCTTTGCAAAATGACCTGTTTCATATATCTAATTCTGTTATTCTTCCTAATTACTATCATTGTTCCAAAAGTCCTTGTCTGAACTCAACACAACTGCCCAATTTCTTTTGTTTAGTTTCAGCATGGAGGTTCTCTCTCCATTTCTTTACTTTTAATCTACCAATATCTTTATATTTAAAATGATTTTTTTAATAAGTAGCATATAGTTGATTTTTATAATCAACTCTGATAATTTTCATCTTTTAAGTGTTCTGTTTTGAACATTTATATTTAAAGTAATTATTGAAAGAATTAATTCAACATCTACAATGTTTTTAATTCTTTCATATATGCTTTTTAATTTTTCTCTTCTTTCTGACTTTTTTTTTGTACTAGGAATTGAACTCAGGGGCACTGGACCACTGAGCCACACAACCCCAGCCCTATTTTGTTTTTTATTTAGAGACAAGGTCTCACTGAGTTGCTTAGGGCCTGGCTTTTGCTGGGGCTGGCTTTGAAATATCAATCCTCTTGCCTCAGCCTCTTGAGCTGCTGGGATTACAGGACTGCACCACCACCCCTGGCTTCTCTTCTTCATTTTCCCTTAATTTTTTCACCCAAGAGATCGCATTGAGTTATTTGATCTTTTCACAGTCACATTCCTTAACACTCTCAGGCTGAGCCTACACATGTCTCTAAAACTCCAATTCTTCTTTTTAGTGGACTTATTCTCCTTCATATTGACACTGTGCACCTTTTATAAAACTAAAATAGCCATCTTCTAAACCCTGCAGACTGATCTCTTAGTCAATTAGCACCTGCAAAAAAACTAGATGATGAAAATCCATGCTACATTCACATGCTTCCTAAGGATTTTTTAAATATAAAATCCTAATTTTCATAATAATTTCTTGAGGTAATAATGAGAAATTCCACCTCATAGATGGGAAAATGGTGTTTATACAACTATGCAGGATTATATAACCGGTGACTAATGATAAAAATATTATAATTTAGGAGGAATTAAACACTAGTGATTTGGTTTGTGTTTGCTGTTTTAATTCAGAGAAAATTCAGTGCACCATTTCTTTTTGTTACTTCTCTTTTCAGTTTAAGTGGGCAAGTAAGATTTGACAATGTAGAGTACTTTCCATATTCTAATATGCTTCAGGTAATAAATGACCATGAATTCTCATCCTTTTAAAATTTATAACAGTTACATTCAGTTACAAGGAGAAAACATCATGGCTGAATACAAAGTGTGACTATGATCATAAAGAAAAGATCAGATAAGGAGAGTGGCCTAAATCAGAAATCAGGAGGAAAAAGTGTGCTACAAGTCATGCCCTGATAGAGCAGTGAGTACCAGGATATAAGCACTTAGTGGATGTCAGCCTCAGTGTTGTCATGCATGAGGTGAGGTCATGGCAGCGAGGGACCTCTCCTCAGAAGTGGAACTACACATCATGACTGCCGGGTAAACCTTTGACTCAGAACCTAAAATCCAGTGGAGCACTGATGGACAGTGAATGGATGGCCACCACAGGAAGACACTAGAGGTGGCCAACACAAAGCATGCCATGGAGCCACTGGAGTGTCCACATGACGGGTTCTGAAATCTGGAGGAGATGGAAGTGGCCACCTGGGTGACAAGCTGTGGGAACCAGGAGTGATGGCCATGGTCTCCAGTATTCACACAACAGGAAAAAAAAACAGTAGAGAGCAAGGGTGGTGCAACAGGAATCCATGCCAACAGGTGTTTGTCAAATGCACCAAGAACGTGAGTGGGAAAGCAGAGTCTCTTCAACCAGTTGTGCTGGGAAAATCACACAGTCAATGTAAAGAATGACAGATGTTTATCTCTCACCATGGACAAAAATCAACCTGAAATTAATCAAAGACCTAAGACCTGAAAGTACGGGTGAGGGTTTGGATCTTTGAACATTTTATATTTTTTAATGCCCAGATGTTGGTTCCACATGAAATACGTGACTATGTCTCAGAACCAGGAGATAAGATGATATCTGGATGTCAATCATGCCCTGCTGACTGCTGCAAATTAGCACTTGCTTAGAAGAGAAGAAGTGATATTGAAAGTCCAAGTTCTGATTGCTCCATATGGTGCTATTCACAGAGGATGAGAATGCAGAAGCAGTCCTGGTGCCTTCAGTGTGGGGTGTGTTCAGGGCAGCCGAGAGAGCACGATGTAAATGTGCTTCAGAAGATGAAAGGTCATGGAAATCATGCTAAAAATCTTGATGTTTCAGAATAGACGTGGCAAGAGTTCCTGAAGGATTTTTGTTACTATAGGAGCATGTAATATCCATGTGTTTAAGGAACTGAACAGACACTTCATGGAAGAAGAAATACAGGTGGTCAATAAATATATGAAAAAATGTTCAACATCTCTAACAACTAGATAAATGTCAATTAAAACTACACTGATATTCCATCTCACTCCAATCACAATGGAAATAATATTAAGAATACAAGTAAGTACAGTAAATATTGGTGAGGATGTGGAGGAATAGATTCACTCATACATTGCTGATGGGACTGAAAATTGATTTGACCCATCCGGAAAGCTGTATGGAGATTCCTCAGAAAATTTAGAATGGGACCCATTTGACTCAGTTATCCCACTCCATGGTATATACTCAACGGATTTAAAATCAGCAATCTACAGTGATACAACCACATCAATTTTTTTTATAACAGCTCAAATCACAATAGCTGAACTATGGAACCAAAAGATGAATGGAGAAAGAAATTCTGGTACACAATGGAATATCATTCACCCTTAAAGACAATGAAATTACGGTATTTTCTGGTAAATGGATGGATCTGAAGACTGTCATGTTAAGTGAAATAAGCCAAGCCCCCCCCCAAAAAATGTCAAATATTTTCTCTGATATGTGAGTAGTAAACACACAATGAATAGGGGGGTGAGGGGCAGAAGAGAAGTACAATAAAATAGACAATGGAGAATGGAGGGAAGGGAGGGGGATAGGAAAAGGAAAGACAGTGGAATGAGTCTGACACAATTTGCCCTGTACACACATGAAAACAACACAGTGAATTCACCATCTTGTACATCCACAGAAATGAGATCCTAACTAGAATAATAGATATTCCAACCTTGTATAATAACATCAAATGGATTCTACTGTCATGTACCACTAAAAAGAAACAATAAATTTTAAAAAGATTTTTTTTTTCTTAAAAGGTAACCTGGTATGTTATGTATGATGAAGAAAGAAGACAGCAGGAAGAGGAACCAAAAGAGTAGTTTAATTCTGCACCAGGGATGGAATTCTAAAGATTTCCCAAAAGGAAAACCATATAAAACAATGGTAGTGGAGAAGGACAGAGTCCTGCTTCAGCACCAAGGCCACCCACTGACCTCCTTAACCTGTTCTTTCTTTAGGAAAAAAGGGTGCTGGGGAAGCCACTGAATTGAGGACATATTGACTGTAGACAACTATATCCTTTAGAAGGATAAAGGTGAAATGAGAATGGGTTCTACTCTTTGGATGTCTAATCATAGGATAGGCTGAATAGTAGAATCAGGAATGGTCAGGCAGTTTGAAATAGAAGGAAAGGAATAAGTAGATTGTAGACAGGTTAAAAATGTGGTCCTCATGTTATAATCAGGGAAATGATGTCAAGAGAAAGATGGAAATTCATGATTAGGGGCAATAGCATGAGAGTGATGATAAAGATTTGAGAATACCATTCAAGAAAAGATCAGAGGAAAAAAAAACATGAATTCTTACAGATATACTGAATGGAAGAAGAATTATTTAAAAATGATTTTTATGGTACAATCTGAAGAAATCAAGATTTGCAAAAAAAAAAAATTGTGTTTCTGTGGTGGAACTGTATGTAAAACCATTGAAGTGAAGGACCTTCTGGGGAGGGAGGAGAACCAGCAGGTGGTGGGTGGGGACGTGGGCAGGGGGAGACTCAGCAGGAGGGCAGAGGAGGGATGGATGAGGTTGTCTGCACCCCCTGGGCATCAGACACCTGGACCAAGGCCAGCTGTGCAGCACCCAGCGCTTAGACTCCGCTGGCAGCTCAGCCTCTGCAGCGCGACCTTCATGTCTCGGTTCCTCAGAGAGTAGATGACGAGGTTCAAGGAAGGGGTGAGGATGAAATAAAAGACGGATGCCAGGCAACCCTGGATGGGGGAGTACTGAGACGCAGACCTCAGGCAGGTGAAGCTTCCACTGCGGTAAAACAGGAGGACAGTGATCAGGTGGGAGGAGCAGGTAGACAAGGCCTTCCAGCGGCCGTCCCCCGAGGGCATCCGCAGGAGGGTGGAGAGGATGCGGATGTAGGAAAGGACCTTGAGGGCGAAGGAGCTCAAGACGATGCAGCTGCTCATGGCAAAGCCCACCTCCTCCCTGGGGTGGAAGATAGCACAGGAGAGCCTCATGAGAGCGGGGATGTCGCAGAAGAAGTGCTCCACTACTTTAGGCCCACAGAAGAGCACGGAAAAGGTGTTGACGGTGTGGAAGGCTGAATAGAGGGTCCCGCCCACCCGAGGGTCCCGCCCACCCGAGGGTCCCGCCCACCCAGGCCAGGACCACCAGTGCCCAGCACCGTCCATGGCTCATGATGGTCCCATAGAGCAGGGGCCTGTAGATGGCCACACACCGATCATAAGCCATGGCTGTGAGCAGAAAGCACTCAGCTGAAGCAAGTGTGAAAAACATGTAAAGCTGAGCCAAACACTCGAGGTAGGAAATGACCCCAGGACCCTGTAGTGTGGTAGCCAGTGCCTTGGGGATGGTGACCGAGGTGTAGCTCAGGTCCAGAAAACACAAATTCTTCAGGAAGAAGTACATGGGTGTGTGGAGGTGGCTGTCTCTAAGCACAGCTGTGATGATGGACATGTTGCCTAGGAGGCCAAAGGCATAGACCAACAGGAAAGAGACAATGACTACTGGCCTCCATTCTGGGATGTCTGAGAAGCCCCTGAGGATGAAGTGGGTCACTCTGGTCTGAATGGACATTTCTCCCCCTCTGAAATTGTGTTCAGATGCAGTGGCCACAGATAGCTAAGAGGAGGTCAGCTGGGAGTATGTCCAGGGAGGTCTTTGTCTACAGAGGTTCATCTTCTCTTAATGGCAAAACATCCTAGAAGCAGCTTGTATGAGAATCATAATCCAGGAAATTTGATTATTCTGAGGAATCACTCAAAAGAACTAAAATTGGCCTAGTATAGTGACACAGTCACATCCATCCACGTTTACAGCATGACTCCCAAGAGCCAAGATAGGGGATCGGCCCAGGAGCCTGTGAAGACATGAATGGTATAGAAAATGTGGACTAATATGGCTGAGTTTGCTCAGCCACCAAGAAGAATGAAATGATGTCATTTACTGGTAGTTGGATGGAGGTAGAGAAAAGGGATGCAGGTGGAGAACTTCATGCTGAGTGAAATAAGCCAGAGTAAGAAAACCAAGGGTGGAATGTTTTCTCTCTTATGTGGGTTGGAACAAAATAAGGAATAGGGGAAAGAGTGGACCTCAAGAAGAGAAGAAAGTGGGAGAGGAGGAACTGAGCAATGAAATTCACCAAATTCTGAAATTTTTGAAATTCACCAAAATTCTGTGCACATGTGTAAACACCCAGGGAAGGCCACCCTTAGGTTTATCTGCCCACTGTTAATTTAAAAAACAACAAATAAATAGAAAGAAGTCCAATACAACAGGAAGGAGGTCAGAGAATAGGAAAGGGGAGGGGAAGGGGAAGTACAAGGGGCTGAAAGGTGGCAGTTTAGTTTCATGCACATACTAATATTTCAAAATAAAACCTACTATCATGTATAACTATAATGCACCAATAAAATCATTAAAATTATTTAGTAAAAAAATTAGTGTCAAATTTCTAAAAGGAAAGTCTTACATATATAGTTTATTAATTTAATTTAAAATATGGAATATTTAATATAATTCACAAAATCTTATAGACTGTACTTACTACAGAATAGCATATTTAGTTAACATGGATATATTTTACAAACAAGGGAAGATCAAAAACACGTACCTAGCAACTCTAAGGTTCAAACATGTTTTTAAACAGCTGCTTTTCTCTGCATAGATGTGTCAAGCAGTGCCATAGTGAAGTTCTGGCTCCTAACCCCAGTGGGGGATGATGTCCCTCAAGCCTCATTTTTTAGACAGGACAGGACACTTGCTGTCATGCAGCAGCAGGAAGGTGCTGGGGAGTGGCCACAGCTCACCTCCTCATGCAGGCCCATTCTTACTCCCAGGCCTCCTCACCTGAGTGACTGAGAATCCTGACTCAAGGCTTAACTCTTCCAGCCAGGCCCTATGACAAAGCTCTGACAGCTGCCCATCAACAACACTTTCATAGGAAATTCTTACTCACTTTGGAAGTTGGTTAAAGTTAGGAAATTTAAGTTTATTCCAACATTCAATAAAATTTAAATACATCCATGCAAACTTTTCTCCACTGTCACCTCCTGTGGAGGAGTCCTAGAATTGCTTCCTATCCTCAAACACACTGAAGTCAAGTTGAACACAATGAACATATTGAAATTAGAAAACATAAAATTCAATTTTGTGGGATCTTTTATAAAACAGCTCTGCTAGGACCCAGGGAAACTGTCTTTGACTGAATGCAGGAACTTAAGCCCTGAGCCCAGGTGTGTGCACCAAATCCCTGCTCCTAGGGGTCTGGTTAGTGTCTGTTTCCTGCTTGCTGTCTTCTTCCTCTGCGGGCCTGATCCTCCAGAGTAAGACAGGCCTCTTTCCCTATGTGCAGTCTGTGCTCAGCGGAGAATAAAGGAGGGAGCAGCCTGAGTGCAACCTGGTGGAAGTTACCCTTAACACACTCGGCTTTAGACATGGTTCTGCAGGAGCTAGCTCTAGTATTTCCAGCTGTGTGAGTGTGCAACCTCCTACATAGGACAGTCAAGAACCGTGCAGTCATCATAACCCCAGGATGAAATATGCTTGAGACAGTTATTGAATACTATTGCCTGGTAGAAGCTCATCTGCCGCTCTGAGCCCTTCCTTCCCCAATTTACCCAAAGTCTAGAGAAGACATTCCCTATATGCTGCAGAACTGCAGAGCCAAGGTCACGACCCCATCTCTGATTCCCACAGCTCCCCTCAGTATTCAAAATTAGTAAGAATTGAAAGAGAACAGTTGGTCCTCCTCCCAATGGTCAGTGGGTAGGTAGATCTGGACTTGGAGAACACTAAAAACCATTGATACAGGTGAGGATGCTGCTTGAGTTACAACTCTGGGAATCTGTTGGAGGCAGTGCTGGAATTTTCCTTAGGACAGAGATATCTGTGCAATACTTGGGAAATGGCAACTTGCTCAGAGTTCAACCACTAGAATACCTATTGTGTGTGGGAGGTACCCCAGGGTCTTCTCCTACTTGGAATTCCTGATGCAGCTTATCACATAATTCTCTGTCAGATGCAAGGAAAAGTAATTCAAGGAGTAGTGTGTGTATGAGTGAGCAGCAAGATCCTGGGGGAAACCAGAAGGGTATGAGCTCTTGGCTGCTCAGGGATTCAGCAGTGGTCAGCAGGATGCCCATACCGGCTCAAGTCAGAGACACCAGGCGAGTCTGTGGCTCCTGCTTCAAGGTTCAAGGAGCAGGGGAGAGTGACTGTGCACCTGGGTTGAGGCTAGTCCAGCAGAGCTGGGGACAAGATGTCCCTTTTCTCCCTCCCTGAACCACCTCCCTAGTCCTCCCTCATCCCAGGAGGACCTGAGGAACCCTGGATGATAGAGGCCACCCCTGGATAAGGGAAGAGAGAGATGTCAACTCCTGAGTGTGGGATGTGTTCTTGGGTGGATGACCAAACCTTTTAACCAACTGTACATTGAGGAGAGCAGGGTACAGTGGGTCTCACCAGGAGTCAGTGAAGTTCAGATGTTTGCAAATATCAGAAGCTCTGGAAATTAAGATTGTGTTGGGGAGAATTTCCAACATGACAACTTGTGCCTTCTAAACAGTAAAACATCATTCTCTTTGTTAACAAAATTAAACATTAACCCAGGGTCCTCACATACTCTGCTTTCTTGAGGATGCCAACCAATGAAAGCAATTTTTTATGGGAGCATGCTACTGCTTTCCCTGGCCCATGAATGCATTTGTTCCCAAGGGTTAATAGCAGTTTGACCTGCCTTTCTGCTTCAATGTGT